TTAGACGCACATGCCTCAATCATGTGAAAAAAAATTGGGTGGAGAAGCATCAAGGCTAGTCATAAAGATATTTCTCCCTTCTGCTTTCTGCCCAATGCTCCTACTCTTGATATTACAGTATTTTGTAAAGGCATTGTTCTCCAAACATTCAGACAAAATTATGGAATGTCAGGCATACTTTCATTTAATGAGTACCATAACTGAATACAGATACCTTCTGTACATCCAGTCACTTTTTTCTTTTTTTTTTTTTTTTTTTTTTTTGAGATAGGGTCTTGCAGGGCAGTTCAGGCTGAACTTGAACTCACTATGTAGCCCAGGCTGAGCTCAAACTTGTGGTGATCCTCCTGCCTCAGCCTCCTGAGTGTGAGTGTTGGGATTACGGGCGTGTGCCACCACTCCCGGCACTGTCATTTGTTCAGACAGCTGTTAATGTTCCTGGCATGGAAAAGGCGCGTCAATGCTCCGCTAGCTTTTCATGGAGTGGGGCTGAGGTGATATGCCCTCCTTTCACTGCTTACAACATGGGATGTCAGAACGGTCTACTGGGGAAAACAGACTTCTAGCAATACACCAAAGGGCCAATTTGCCACAGTGAACAAAAACAAATTTAACCAAACCACATAACTGAAGAAGGCCGAAATGAAACTTGAGAAAACGATTAGCAAGGCCACAGTGTGCTGGCCTTTCAAATACTAGGAAGTAACCTTTCCAGGAACTTCCCCCTCAGTCAAATGAGATGTGTGGAATGTGTAGGAGAGATCTGGGATCCAGAGAATATGCTTAGTGTTGAACAATTCTTCCCGAAGCCAGCTGCTTTGACCTACACGGCACAAAAACAACTGAACCCAGAAGGTACTGAATCCAAAAATACTAAATCCAAAAAGTCACACGGCTATAACGTAGGGGACTAGGATGAAACTCAGAGATGTGGATATACTACTCTAGACTAACTCCTCCGTATTTCACTAATGTATTATGAAGGTAAATTTCTCCAGAGAAAGGAAGTTCCTCAGTAAAATGAAAGCGGTACAGGTCTTCAGTCCCTCACTCACAGTTCCAAAGTCCAAAAAGCACCAGGAAACAAACTTTTCTTAACCTTCTTGGTGGAAAACTTAACCTTTCTATCTGAAGCAATGCTTGACTCATATCTCTCTCGCTTGCTGTAGCATCCAAACAAAAGGTGAAGAAGACTCTCCCATCCCCTCCCGGTCACATGCTTCTCCCAGGTGCAGGGGAAGGTTGTGGAAGCTGATGACTCAGGAGATGTCGCAGGGATCTTCCCCCCTGGGACTGTGCCCTGTGTGTCTGTGGAACTCCTGCCACTGCATTTAACACCCGCAGACAAACGGAAGCACCTGGGGTAGCTCAGAGGCTTTTTATATTTTTGTTTTTCAGCATAGGATTCTGGATTCTGGGCTGTATCAACGATAAATAGTCACACTAATTCACCAGGTCTACAGATGGGCAAAGTGACCAACTCATTTATGGGTTTTAAGTATTTCTGATGCTACTTATTCAATTATAGACATAAAGATTGTGTTCTTGATTAGTGAGTCTGGTTTTCCTAGGGTCAAAGGAAGTTTTGTAAATTTCTAAT